ACCTACAAAAATGCATATTAATTTTATTATTTTGTATGAATGTTTTGCTTGCATGTGAAGTCAAGGCAGCTGGAACTTAGAAGCAGTCAAAAGCAGAAAGAGAAGGAGCATTCACTATTGATATTATGTACACCACACGCATCCAGTGAGTGCTATTAGAGGCCAAAAGAGGGTGTCAGATCCCCTAGGACTGAAATCACAGTTGTGAGAGCCATGTGGGTTCTGTGGATCGAACCTGGGTCCTCTGGAAGAGCAGCCAGTGTTCTTAACCATTGAGTCATCCCTCCAGCCCTCTAAAATCTTTTCAAAAACCAAAAATAAATCTAGGAGTGGTGGTGCATGCTTTTAATCCTAGCACTCAGAAGGCATGGGGCCTACATAGTGAGTTCTAAGACAGCCAGAACTACATAAAGAGACCACATCTCAAAAAAAAAAGAAAGAGAAAAAGAAAAAAGACAAAGACACACACAAAGAAGGAGAGGAGACTGTTTAACAGGCTGACATACACATATTACATACATATATCTTTTTTGAAAAACATAATGATATCCAATCTTGTACATTTAAGGCATTCCTGCAAAACAGTTTTCAAAGGACAGCAATCCCATGATAGAAATCGTCAGAGGATATGATCAGGCAGAGTCCCCGTTTCCTTTCCAGTTACTGTGATAAAACACCGCACAAAGGGAACTGTTAAGGGGAAAGGGTTGATGTGCCTTACATTTACAGGTTACAGCCATCATAGCAGTGAAGTCAAGGCAGCTGGAACTTAGAAGCAGTCAAAAGCAGAAAGAGAAGGAGCATTCACTATTGATATTATGTATTAATGCTGGTGTTCAGCTTGGGGTTTCTTTCTCTTTTTTTTTTTAATACAGTTTGGTATATAAACCCAGGGAATAGTGTCACCCAGAGTAGACTGGGTATTCCCACATTAATTAATGCAATCAAGACAATCCCCCAGACATGCCCACAGGCCAGCCTGATCTAAACAATCCCTCATTGATCCATTCCCATGTGATTCCAGATAGTGTCAAGTTGACAATACCAATCGTTACAGGCAGTTTTACAAAAGACAAAACCCCCAGCACTAATCACATGCATGGCAGGTTGCTCCAATTAGATGATCAGACAAATGTAAATTATACAAACCACTTAATGCCTATTTGTCTGGCGAGTCTATATATGCTATAAAATTCTCAGAGAGGTCAGCAAGATAGAGAATGGAGGAGGGGACCCTATTTCAAGAAAACAAAAAAGTTTTGGGGGGGTGGGAGCGACAGGGACTCACTATGTAGCTGTGTCTGGCCTGGAACTTGCTGTGTAGACCAAACTGATCTTAAACTCAGAGATCTGCTTGCCTCTGCCTTCCAAGTGCTGGGTTTAAAGGTGTAGGCCACTACCAAACCTGGCTTGAAAATATTTCTATTTAAAAGAAACACTCTATGTTGAAAGCCTTTACCAAACACTTGAGTCTGTGCTAGAGCCCTTGATTTTCAGCTGGCAAGCAGCTTCAACCATACTCTAGAGGGATACGTTATTTTTCAGATTGATTTTATTCTTATTTACGTGTATGTGCAGGTATATGCCTTGTGAGTGTAGATGCCCTCAGAGGCCAGTAAAGGGCATCGCATACGCTGGAGCTGAGTTACAAATGATTGTGAGCCACCTGATGTGAGTGCTGGGAGCCAAACTCAAGCCTGGAAAAGTAGCAAGCCATCTCTCCAACCCCTAAAAGGACTCTTTTCCTTTTTAAATAATTTAATTTTAGTTTATGTGTATTGGTGTTTTGCCTGTATGTGTGTCTGTGTGAGGGTGTCAGAAGCCCTGGAACTATATATATATATATATATATATATATATATATATCAGGAGTTAGAGACAGTTGTAAGCTGCCATGTGGGTGCTGGGAATTGAACCTGGATTGTCTGGAAGAGCAGCAGCCAGTGCTCTTAACTGATGAGCCATCTTCCCAGCCCCAGGACTCTTTTTTTTTTCTGAGACAGGGTTTCTCTGTGTAGCTTTGCGCCTTTCCTGGAACTCACTCGGTAGCCCAGGCTGGCCTTGAACTCACAGAGATCCGCCTGCCTCTGCCTCCCGAGTGCTGGGATTAAAGGTGTGCGCCGCCACCGCCCGGCCTCCCAGGACTCCTTTTCTTACCCATGTCTCCAAACTTTTCCTCCTGCCTCAGTGGCATGAGGACCAGGAGTTCACAGTCTCAAAGAAAAACTAAGGCTGCCCATAGTTCAGCCATCTGAAGTTCGAGCAGCTTCTTACTGCAGAGGGCAGTGGTTGATGCAGAAACCCCAAACTGGTTAACAATGAAGGATGCTGGAGGGCTTGGCCCTAAATGGGACACAGCTATATCACCCCCTCCAAGGCTCAGGGAAGAGCAAGGAAGAAGGGGCAGAAAGAATGTGAGAGCCAGAGGATGGGGAGATGTATAGCAGAAGGACCCCTCCCGAACATGAATGACATTGCCTTTGCTCCATAACTGAAGATGTGGTTATGAAGCTGTGTACAGGACTGCCTCAACACTGAGCTCGTCAACAGTTCCTCATGAAGTGGGGAAGGGCCCATGAGGCCCCATGCTTTCTTTTAGGTAATTTACTGTTTGGGGTGGAAGAAGGTCTACTTTTCTTTAGGGGTATCCACACTGATAAGTTGCCCTCGCTTTAGCAAATATTATCCACCCATGCTGGGGAAGAAACTCTAGACTCAGTTGGCCACACACTAAGACAAATGTAGAATGGGGACTTGGGGGGGAAAGGGTTCCAGGTTCCAGCGGGGGGGGGGGGGGTGAGAGAAGGGAATAGAGGGGATTAAGCAACTAAAATTCATTATATAAATGAAATTGTCAAAAATGTCAAAATTCATAAGAATTGTAGAAGAAAACATAAAAGGAAGACTGATCATTTCAAAATGCCATTCATTATAAGTGTTGCCTCCAAGCCTATCTCTTGCCTCAATGGGAGCAAAGAGAAGGAACCAGAAAGAACTCAAATAGCCATTGGTAATGGAATGGCTGAATAACGCTATATTTAGACTATGAAGTATCATGAGTAGGTTAAAAAGGATGAGGTAAACACGTGACCTTATGGGTTACTAGAGCATGAAGCCCTGTTTGGTGACTTTGCCTCAATGAACAAGGTGCAAGAGGGATTGAGGATGGTCTCAGTGTAAACCTCTGTCCCCCACGCATACTCATACATGTGTGCCTACACATGCAAAACAATGCATACACACAAGTGTACCACATGTGCGCACACTCGCACACACACACACACACACACACACACACACACACACACAGTGACAACCGTAAAAGGAAGAAGAAATGGAGTGCTGTTTAACAACATTCGATAGATTATAAACCCAGGGATCAGCGAGATTCCACAGAACTAGAGTGGTGGTACAGCAGTTACCCAGAGGAACCTATCACTAGCTCCACCATCACTATGACACTTTGTTGCTACCAGCTCTAACATTCGGGAAGGCAGAGACAGGTGGGTGGGGCTCTGTAATTTCCAGGCCAGCCTGGTCTACAAAGTGAGTTTGAGGCCAGCCTGCAATACACAGTGAGTCCCACGATAGCCGAAGATACACAGAGAAATCCTAGCTCAAAAAACCAACAAAAGTAGGAAGTAGTGACAATCTATGGCCATGCCACCCTGAACTGCCCAGTCTGGTTTGATCTTGGAAGCTAAACGGGTCAGACTTGGTTAGTACCCACCTGTAAATTCCAATTCTCTACGATATAGTTTGTGTCCAATCTATGCCAAAAAGAAACAAAACAAAAAGTGAAGTATAATACAGTGTATCTGTTTGTTTGTTTTTTTAAGAATCCCAGGGCTGGAGAGATGGCTCCGCGGTTAAGAGCACTGGATGCTCTTCCAGATGACCTGGATTCAATTCCTAGCACCCACATGGCAGCTCACAGCTGTCTGTAACCTCAGTTCCAGGGGATCTGACACCTCACAGAGACATACATAGAGGCAAAACACCAATGAACAAAAAATTACAAATAAATAAAACATTTAAAAAGCAAACAAGAACAGAATCTCAACTATATAGCCCTGATTGTGGTAAATGCAATGTAGTTCTCCATTCTTCTTTTCCTTTTGTTGACTTTTTAGTAACCCCGGGTGGTGAAAACTCTCTGTAATCCTGTCTCAGGCCCCAGACCCAACTCATTTATTATTTCTCACAACTGAATACACACACACACACACACACACACACACACACACACACACACACACACAATGACCTCACAACTCTAATGTTCCCAGTGTGTAATTTGGGGCCTTTTGTGTTTCCACGGTAAGCATTCTCTTTTTCTTTTTCTTTTTTTTTAAAGAAAGGATCTCATGTAGCCCAGGATAACCTTTAACTCCTGTTCCTCTTGCTTCTTCCTAGCCAAGTATTATGTATGACTACGAGAGTGCACAAACACGCCTGGAGCACACAGATGTTTTAGCATAAAACAGTATTTATCGTTTTGTAAATAAACAGAGCTAAAGATACAGTGGGGAAAAGAAAGTAAAATCCCATCGCATCTTCTCCCGCCCAAGGCGATCTCAACTTTCAAGATCTTTTATCTTCCTCCCAACCTGGAGCTTCCAAAGCCACAAGGTAAACATCCGACAGCCACTCTAGCCCAATTCAGAGGACTAACTCGTTAGCCTGGGAGGTTCACCCCTCTAGCTCTCGGTGGGTTAACGAGTTCAATGCTTGGCCCGCTTCCGTTTAGGGAGGGGAAGGCCCTCTTTCTCTCCGGGTTCCCTCAGATAGTTCTGCCTTTGGAAGTCTCTTGAGCTTCCAGTCCCCCAGTCGGCCCTCACTCTCCTCCCGATACTCCCCTCGGAGGACTCTACCACCGCTCGGGATGCTCCACAAGTCCGCGAACTGGGCGAGAACTGTGGCCGGATTTTCAGGCCAGGATGAGTCACTTCCGGTCACAGACTCCCTCCTCCGGAAGTAAGACCTGATGTAAACAGCAGAGCCGGGCACCAAAGCCCGGGAGGTCAGAATTTCGTGCCGCAGGCGGCACCGACAGCTAGGGCAGGGGTCTGGGAGGGGTGAAGAGCAAGGCAGCAAAAGCGACGTGCAGCTGGAGCACGATCCGAGGGTTGGTCAGGGTCATGGGGTGGGTGTCTGTACTAGAGGTCTTGACAGGTGGGGACAGGCGGCTTGAGTCGGTGCTGTCATGGAAAGGAACATGACTTTTGGGAGAGGGTGGGACGTATCAATTAGGGTTCTTAGATAGCGTGGGCATTTGGACCAGAGATCTAAAAGAGGGTCTTGGAAGCTAGTGCTAGAGCAGAATATGGCTCATGTAGAAGCAAGACCCAGACGTTACACCAGAAAAAGTAGGCTTGAAGTCTTAGAGGATGGGTAGGAGGTGTGTCTGGACAGAGGTCTTGGAGTGATGGGGTTCGACAAGAGCATGAAACTTCTAGGACAGGGAGACAGAGAAGCAGGTTGAAGTTTTCCTAGGCAGGACTTTGGGGTGGTGTGTACTGGGAGATCTTTAGAGGGTATCTGTGCCCTAGGGCAGGGTCTACTAGAGATAATGTGGGAATAAAAGGGACAAATTTTAGGGGGAAGGAGGTTCCTGAGAGTGGCATTGGGTCAGCTCAGTTAGGAGTCATGGCTAGAGAGGATGAGGAATGGAATGTGTCAAATGCGAAGAATTTAGAACGTCAAGGGAATGCCAGGTGGGGTCCTCAGGACCGAAGCAGAGGGAGTGGATGGAGTTCCCAGGCTTGCCTTAGTGGTCAGAATTAGCACTGTGAGAAAAGGGTTGGGGGAACGTGTTGCATGGGAGGGGCAGGTAAATGAGAGTTAGGAAGGCACAAGGAGGGAGTCTGTGGGTGATGGGCCATCCCTAGCAGTGCAGGGAGATGCAAGATACCTTAGCCCTTGTTCTCTTTACTTACTGATAGGTGGAGCCGGGTGCAGGTGGAAAGAGATTTGAGGTCATGTCAGGAATTAGAGCCAAGGATGGCTGGGAATGAGGAGGTATCATGGGATATGCTCTACTCCATTACTTCCTGATAGGTTCAGTAAGGGTTGGTGTTTATGGCAGTTGTGAGTCTATATCATTGTAGGCCAAGATACCTTCTGCGTGTGATCTTGGTTTGAACAGATACTCTGAGGTATACTCCACTTGTTTTTGTTTTTTGCAGTCTGGCAAAGAAAAGTATCAAAATGGGGAGGAAGCCGGGAGTGATGGCCCACACCTATAATCCCATCACTCAGGAAGTGGAGGCTGGAGGACTGCTGGGAATTCAAGGCCAGCCTGTGCTACATAGGGAGTACCAGGACAGCCAGGGATACGTAGCAAGATCCTATCTCAAAACAAAATAGACAAAGTGGTGAGGAAGAAGAAATCGTTTGGGGGACAGAAGTTGTAGGACTTAAGAGAGGACATTCCAGAACTCTTCGAAATGCTGTCATTTTTGTGCCTAGGGAGACAGTCCTGGACCATGACTCAGCAGCCACTTCGAGGTGTGACCAGCCTCCATTTCAACCAAGACCAAAGTAAGCTTGTGATTGTATCTTTGTGGGGAAGAAAGGGAAGAAGGGTCAGAGATGGCTATGAGCCCTCGAATTTTGAGTCAGACAGATTCCTTCCATCCCCAGGCTGCTTTTGCTGTGCCATGGAGACGGGCGTACGCATCTATAATGTGGAGCCGCTGATGGAGAAGGGGCACCTGGGTAGGTGGCTGTAGTGGTGGGGCAGTGGGCAGCAGGGCTGATGTGGGCATTTGGCATCTACCTCTACTGACGCCCTGGTCCTTGTGCAGACCACGAGCAAGTAGGCAGCGTGGGACTGGTAGAGATGCTACACCGATCCAACCTGCTGGCCCTGGTGGGCGGTGGTGGCAGCCCCAAGTTCTCCGAGATCTCAGGTAAGTGCTTTCATCCTGCACTTGACCTAGATTCCCTAAGTTCCTCACTTCCCACATAGAGCCCTGAGGCATGGGCAGATGAAGTCCTCAGCACCTCAGAGTCCCACAGTGAGGCACACTTTGTAAGTCATGAATCCTTGAGCTTGAAACGTTTGATCTGTTACTTATTGATAGAGGGTCTCACTGTGTAGTTCTTTGTTGATCAGGTTGGTCTCAAACTCACAGAGCGCTGGGACTAAAGGTGTGTGTTATCACACCGAGCACTTTTGTTCTTATTTAGGAAACCTCACTGAAGCCGGGGGGTGTATGTAGCTCGGTGGTAGAACACTTGCCTGGTGTGCTCAAGGCCCTGGGGTCCATCCCCAGCACTATAAAAAGAGAAAAACCACATCTTGTCCATCTCCTGTGTGCCATGTTCGTAACAATGGGGCACTTACTGGGAGCATAATAGTAATTTTAAGCACTTTACACATAAACACATTAATTTGAGACAAGGTCTTCTGTAGCCAAGTATGACCTTGAATTGATCACCTACCTCCCAGGTGCCAGGATTACAGGTTCGTGCCTTCACATCTGGCTTTACATAATTAGCTCATTTAGTTTTGTGGGGTTTTCTTTCTTTTGGCTTTTAGAGACAGGTCTTCTACATAGCCCTGACTGTCCTGGAACTCACTATGTAGACCAGGATGGATTGGAACTCACAGCGCCCCTCCTACCTCTGCTTGATGGGATTAAAGGTGTGCCCTACCACTCCCAACTAAGTCTGTGTGGTAGGAAACACCATCGGCCCTTCTTCTCCCCCTTCTGCTGTGCTGTGGATGGAACTCAGGGCTCTATGCATGTTCTGTCACTAAAGCCATACACGCAGCCTCCTGATCCTCACTTTTACTCATGAAAAAACAGACCGACTTAAGGGGCTGTTTCAGATCACATAAGTAGTAGGTTTTCAAATCTTGGAGCCATCTGTCCTACACCTTCTTGGCTTGTGCCTCAAGTGCCACCTTGTTTTCAGTTTTTTTCTTGTTGATCCCAAGCGACATGGCAAGCATATCGTTAGTGAGTCACAGAAGCCTAGAACTCATCACAAATTCTCCTGGGTATGGACTGGATCCTGAAGATCGAAGTAGTTACAGAGGGAAGTTGTGGACCCTTAACTGTTTGTTCTTGTGCTACAGGTCCTTGAGCACACTCCGCTCATTTGAGCCTTGATTTTCTTTTTTGTTTGTTCGTTTTTCAAAACAGGGTTTCTCTGTGTAATTGTGCTTTTCCTGGAACTCACTCTGTAGACCAGGCTGGCCTTGAACTCACAGAGATCCGCCTGCCTCTGCCTCCCAGTGCTGGGATTAAAGGCGTGCGCCACCACCGCCCCAAGCCTTGATTTTCTTATCTCCAAATGAGCATAACTGGTCTAGAATCATTTCCTTAGAGATCTTGTCCCCACGGTTCATGCTGTGTGAGGCTGTGTGAATATTTAGTGAATGGTGAAGCAGATGGTTGAGGGCCCATGAGGGATGGGCCCTGTGTCACCCCGTCTGCCTCTTACCCTAACCCTCGGTCTTGTCAACCCACCCATCTGCCTATCAGTGCTCATCTGGGACGATGCCCGAGAAGGCAAGGACTCCAAGGACAAACTGGTGCTGGAGTTCACATTTACCAAGCCAGTGCTGGCTGTGCGCATGCGCCATGACAAGTGAGCTTGCTGAAGACTGGGATGGGGGCAGGAGGTTCCCACGGCAAGTTATAAGCCCGCCCCTCCCCCTCTCTGGCAGTTTCCCTTTCCTCATAGCCTTCTGTGTGATGTCTGCAGGATTGTGATTGTGCTGAGGAACCGCATCTATGTCTACTCCTTCCCAGACAATCCTCGAAAGCTGTTTGAGTTTGACACTCGGGACAACCCCAAGGGTGAGAGGACCCAGCCATCCAGGTGTAAGGATGTGAGGCTCGGGAAGAGGCAGAGGAGGAGATGAAAGAAGGGACACATACTCAAGAGATCTTGGGGGGGAGGCTCTATGCAACAGATACAGCCCTTCCAGAGCCTACCTTCTCCCTACCCCTAGTCCTGCCCCACATGACAACAGAAAGCACTCACTGAGGACATGGGTAAGTGAATCAGTGAGCCCTGGGCCTCCAAGGATTTCTTGGCAACTTCTTAGAATCTGTTCAGACCATGGAGAGCGGAGCTTAATGCAAAGCCTACCCCTGTCAGGTTGCTATGGGTACTAGACCACAGAGGGTTAAAGTCTGGCCGACACTTGTCCAGCTCTAGCCATTCTGAGCCTCAGCCTTCCCCTGGCCTCCTCTTCACCTGCCCATCCCCATTTATCCTCACAACTTAGGGCTCTGTGACCTCTGCCCAAGCCTGGAGAAGCAACTGCTTGTGTTCCCTGGACACAAGTGTGGAAGTCTGCAACTGGTGGTGAGCCATCCAGTGGGTAAAGGGCGGTGAGGTGGGTGGGCTTGCCTGTCTCTGTGAACTTGGGGTTCCTCTCCTCCATATTACCCCAAGCCCAAACTCTTTCCTCCTGCTCCAGGATCTGGCAAGCACAAAGCCTGGCACTTCATCAGCTCCATTCACTATTAATGCACATCAGAGTGATGTGGCCTGTGTGTCCCTGAACCAGCCAGGCACTGTGGTGGCCTCAGCCTCCCAGAAGGGTACCCTTATTCGGCTTTTTGACACCCAGTCCAAGGAAAAGCTGGTGGAGCTTCGAAGAGGCACTGACCCTGCCACCCTGTACTGGTGAGCAGAGTGTATGTGTGGTGGGCTGGCGCCTTATAGCACAAGTCACCACGTTGGACACCATTACTGGTCTGTCTTGCAGCATTAACTTCAGCCACGACTCCTCCTTCCTCTGTGCTTCCAGCGACAAGGGCACTGTCCATATCTTTGCTCTTAAAGACACCCGCCTCAACCGGCGCTCTGCGTGAGTATCCTCACCCTATCCCTATCATCCCCCTGGCCATGTGCCATACCTGGACTTACCAAACGCTGCCTACAGGCTGGCTCGTGTGGGCAAGGTCGGGCCTATGATTGGGCAGTATGTGGATTCTCAGTGGAGCCTGGCCAGCTTTACTGTGCCTGCTGAATCAGCATGCATCTGCGCCTTTGGTCGAAATACTTCCAAGAATGTCAACTCTGTAATTGGTGAGTGGCAACAGCCCCCTTGGTTTGTGGTACCACATGGGTAAAGGACTGTGGGTTGGACCTGAAAGAATTTAAGGGTTTTCAGAAGCTGGAAGAAACTGGAATGTGTGGCTCAACCTCGTAATTAGTAAAGGGTGTGGCGCTTGGGCAAAAGCCATGAGCCGTGGTGGGACACCAGAGAGGACTGGAGTATGTGGCTGGGGCATCTCCTAACCTTTCATAACACCTCAACCCTCCCTAGCCATCTGCGTAGATGGGACCTTCCACAAATACGTCTTCACTCCTGATGGAAACTGCAACAGAGAGGCCTTTGACGTGTACCTTGACATCTGTGATGACGATGACTTTTAAGAGCCCTGGCAGCTGTACTAGGAACCTGCAGTAGCAGATGGCCAAACTGAGTCTTGAGGGTGTTGAACCAACCAGCAAGCATTAATGAGGCCTCCCACTCTCCACTCAAGCACAGCTGTGTCTAAATAAACAGCTCACTTCCCCCAAGCACTTTTTCGTGACAGTGCTGAGGGCCAAGGACAGATTCCCTGGGCCACCTAGTCTGGAAAACATTCACTGGGACCCAAAAGGATTGTCGGAATCCAACCTGGGGATTTAAAAAAGAATACCAGGAGATAGCCTCTGTGATGTATATGAATAAAGGGCCTTTAAATGGCATTTACGACTTGACCTCAAGGGTGGGGCATACTTTTCCTGGAGCAGGGTGACCTCGGCTCCTCCCAGGAAGTGGAATCTAGCTTGGGACTTGACCTCCTAGTCTTATTAGTCTGTTCAGCGTTGAGTCAACGCACAGCTTGCACAGTCCCGGCGTCACAGTCTGGCGTGGTGCCCTGCCCAGGGGTGAAGAGAAGTTCCAGTTTTGAGCTTCTTACCGCGTGGCGAAGCTTGCTTTCCCGGCAGTCTCTGCTACCATAGTTGGTGGTTTGTGGTGACGTTCAGGTTTGCAGCTGCGCAGTACGCCTACGTTCATAGACGTCGCCCCCTAGACTCTATTTCCCAATGTGCCTCGCGGTGCCGTGAGGGGTTGTGGGTGTTGTAGTCTCGCCGCCCTTCGGGCTGGTCCAGCAACCCGCAGGATGTCGGAGGTGCGGCTGCCACCGCTGCGCGCCCTAGACGACTTTGTCTTGGGGTCTGCGCGTCTGGCGGCTCCTGATCTAGGCGATCCACAGCGATGGTGTCACCGCGTCATCAATAATCTCCTCTACTACCAAACCAATTACCTTCTCTGCTTCGGCACCAGTCTCGCTCTGGCCGGGTGAGGGAGGGAGGTAGTGATTGGCTGAAGATACTAGCGGGAAGTAGGGTGGACTTGCGGGTATTTGAGGATGAGGAGAGGGGAACCTAAGGGGAAATGCTAGGCTGGAAAGGGCGAATTCGGTAGAAAAGGAAGGTCTGAGGGGCATGGATGGAAGGATTTGAAGGATGCAGATTTTTGTTATAAGGAGGATTGCGGGGGGAGGTGAAAGAAGACCTGGGTAGGAAAGGGGGGAAGGGGGACTGAAGAGGAATGTGGGCTAGGAGGTGGACCCGGATTTAAGGAAGGCCTGATATAGGGATGTGAGAGTACTTAAGAGGTTCAGTGATGTGAGTGATAGGGCAGATTAAGGGAGCCCTGGAGGGTTTAAGACAGAAGTGGGGGTGTAGTAAAGACAGGGTTTGCAAGGTGAGTTTGTAGAAAAGAGCCTGCTCATATTGGGCCCAGAGGGAAGACCCAGTGTTGAGAAGCTGGAAGCCAAAGACAGACAATCTAGAAGAGGGACTTGGGCAGGGTTAAGCCTGAGACTGAAACCAAGGACGGGTTCGTTCAAGCAACTGCGGGAGGGTGGTTCTATATGAAAATGGGGTAGTGGGGGGCCTTTGGAAGGAAAGGACACCTGGGAAGTGCCTAGTCTGCAAAGAGAAATGTGTATTGACTGAAGGCCTTGGTGAGGGATCTCCAAGGGTTAAGGTCAAGGAAAGGAATGTGGGAGCAGACCTGGGAATACTAGAAAGAAACCCTGCAGGTCTAAAGCCAGAGACCAGAGAGGTTTTGGGAGCCCAGGACCTCTGGCAGGATATGAGGATCTGGTAGGACGGTAGTCCCGAGGAATTGAGAGTTCCCAGGAATCCCTGCAGGATGGCCTGGATGGAGACAGGCCTGGTGAGACTGTCTGCTAGGATGCAGATTCTGGAGGCAGAAAACAGAACTCTTGGGGTCCAGGATTGGGTGGATGGTGAGGCTCGCTGAGTGCCCTTGTTCCTGCAGGTACATTCGTCCACTGCACACCCTCCTGAGTGCCCTGGTAGTGGTGGTGGCTCTCGGGGTGCTGGTGTGGGCTGCTGAAACCCGCGCGCCTGTGCGCCGCTGTCGTCGCAGCCACCCGGCTGCCTGCCTGGCTGCAGTGCTTGCCATTAGCCTCCTCATTCTCTGGGCCGTGGGCGGCGCCTTCACCTTCCTGCTCGGCATCACCGCTCCGGTGCTTTGTGAGTCTCTACTCTCCCTGTTCTAGCTGGGGAAATGGACAGCTGCTCATGCTTGGACACCAGGCCTGCCCTGCACTGGTTCCTGGGCTAAGAGGGGACTGGAAACCCTGGAGGACACACGTGCCTCCTCCGTTAACTGTCTTCCCTGGGTTTGCGCCCTCTTTATTACCTTTGTGGGTCTTCAGTGTGAAGTGCCTTAAAGTGTCCAAGTCCTGATTTACTGGAATGTCCTTCCTGGCCACATCTCCCATAGCAGGCTAGCCTGCCTCTGGGTCAATCCCCCCATTGTGGGCTGCAAGCTAAGGCCCCTCCCTGACCCACTCTTGGTATCGCCCACAGTGATCCTGCTGCATGCTTCACTGCGCCTGAGAAACCTTAAAAACAAGATTGAGAACAAGATCGAGAGCATTGGTCTAAAGCGGACGCCAATGGGGCTGCTCCTAGAGGCCCTGGGACAGGAGCAGGAAGCTGGATCCTAGGACCCGGGATCTAGACAACCCCCACCCCATACCCAAGATGGAGCCTTTTCTCAGCCATTAAAATACGATCCTAGAAGCCCTCTGGCCTGTCGACAAAATAAGACACCTGTGACTGCTTACTCCAACCCCAAACTAGTCATCTCTTACTCGCCAGCCCCTATTACCTAGGGACCAAAGTCTTCCTCAGTGCTGAATTTGAGACTCAGTCACCTACATCGGCCTTGAAACTGGGCTTTTAAGCCAGAGTATCCATGGCCAATCTCAAAACGGGACCAATAGCTACTCCCTAGCCAAATCTGGAACTCACTGGTCTTCCATACTTCATTCAAATCTAGGGCCCGGAGCAGGACACTCTCAAATACTGAGCTCTAAACTAACGACTTTTCAGACCCCATCCAGCTTGGAACCCAGGTTAAGACATGGCCAAATCTTGAGCTTAAATCCCAAGTGTCCTCAGCCCTGACCCCAATGAACCCTTGAACCCAGATGACCCAAACCCTCACCAGACCCAATAGCCTCCCTCCAACTCTGTTTAGAAGTTTCCTCCCCCCCCCCACCCCCACGTGTTCCTGGTGTTGAGGACCAAGGTGTGGGGCCGGCGAGCGATAGCCCCACCTGGGAATGGAGCACATGTGTTAGTGCTCCTGCGACAATAAAGCCGTTGACCCTCAAGCTAATCTGGCCTCCTGTGTGAAGTTCTTGTACCTTTCAATGAACAACTTCAGCTCTGCGGGGCCATACCTGACGGGCTCAGTGCTGAGAAGGGGACTCCTATGGTCCTCACACCTGCGGCCCCTCAATCAGCATTAAAACCCAGGGATGCAGAAGTGGGTGCTATCATTCTGGATATTCTCTTGTTAGAAGTGGGCAAAGCGAGTGAAGTCAACACGTGACAGCCGGACATAGTGACCCCAGTGATTCCAGACCTGGGGAGGCTGAGGCAAGGGGACTAGGAGTTGTGGCCAGCCCTGGCTACATATACGCTAGCTCAAGAAAACAAAACACACAACACTATTGGAAGCTACTTCCAGTGGGTTTTTTCCTTCTCATAAAAATATTTGTTTCTGGCTGGGCATGGTTGTGCATGCCCTTTATTCCAGTCCAGATAGATCTGAGTACAAGGCCAATGTGGTCCACATAGCGAGTTCCAGGCCAGCCAGGGCTACGTAGTGAGCCCCTGTCCTGTCTCATACGTATATACACATAATCTGGTCTCAACTAGCGGTGTGGGGTCCTGTGCTGAAGCACACAAAGAAGCAATCCAGGGGTCAGTTTATATATTTATTATAGAAATCCCCTTCCAGTGTGAGTAGTGTCTTGGGCCCAGATCCATCGGTACAAAAAGAAAATGTAACACCAGGTAAGGGGGTAGGGGGAACCCCCGGCTCCAGAAAGTCACAGACAATATAGAAAACACAGCTGATGTGGATTTGTTTAAAAAGTGGTAAATAGAAGGAATGCCAAGGAGGACACGATGTGGTCTGTGGCCCACGGCCGGATGTCACCTGAGGGTTTTGCTGGCATCTACTAGTTGCCAGGTTTAACCACTGCAGCATCCCAGGAAGCGACACACTCAAATGGCTCTGCTTGACAGCCTCTGTGGCCTCCTGACTGGAGCAGCTCAGCACTGAGGCCACGGGCGGAGGCAGACAACAGCTCCTTCGGGTACCCCACCTAGACTTCCATCCTTCAAATGTGGACAGGAGCCCAGCTGCCCAAGAACTCTAGTGGGAGGAGGCAGGGAGTTCTGTTCACAGCAGTATCTCAGCCCCGGAGACTCTATGGTCCATCTTGTTGAGGCGGGGTAGTGGCTCATGAATGGAACAGTCTGGGCATCGGGACAGGAATGAACCCAACCAGGAATGAGCTCACAGTTTCCCTTTTAGAAAATCCCTAGTGTTGGGCAAAGACAGTGAATACTAAGTCACAACTGTAAACAGAAATGGAGGAAGGGGCAGAGTCCCCAAATCATTATCCCCTCTTTGAAGCTAGCTGGGGCCCTCCAGTCCCCCAGCACAGGATGAGAAGAGAAGCAGGGGTATCAGACATCCTCCTGGGCCCAAAAGAAGTCAGGGGGTCCTGTGAGACCCAGCAGTTGTCCCTCAGGACCAAGAGCAATCACATCCCAGGGCTCAGCGAGGTCGACCGTGTTCCCCAGACTGGAGTATTCTTTCCAGAGCAACAAGGGGCTTATGAGAAAGGGTCAGACCAATGTCCCTGGGGTCTGGGGATCGGAACTGGAAGACTGCTCCCCCTCTAGCGTCAGGTCACTTAAACGAGCGCTCAGCTCCGGGGGATACAGGAAGTCCGTGTAGTATCTTTAGAAAGGACAGCAGGAATCCGGAAGACAGGGAGGATAAGAGAGGGAAAGACAGACAGGACACACAGAGAGAGAGGAAAAGAGGCTTGTTAAAGAGGTGGAGCCAGGCACGGGACAGCACCTTCAGGCTCTTAAGTAGGGGGCATGGAGCTTGGAAGAGAAGGCCAGGGAGTGCACATGTCCCCTTCCTCCTCCCAGCACCCCGACTTCAAGGCTCACCGCCAGCTGTCAAGTACTAGGGAGAATAGAGAAAATCCTTCTAAAGCTTGGGAAAGAACTCCTGCCCCCAACATCCAAGATCCCCCTCCCCAGGACCCCAAAGACTAATGCGGGCTATGTCTGAGAGTGACCCCATGCCAAGACTACAGCTAGTCTCCTTGTGGTCCCACTCATCAGCTATTTTGACACAGTACTCCCTGGTCAGGATACCTTCAGCATCTGATTCAACACCCCTACCCATCAGTAAAAGCACCCCCATACCTGCCGGAGACAGGGGGTGCTGTGAAACTCCTCGAGTGCGGGAGCGGTGCCTGGCTGGGAGGCCCGTATAGTGCCTGGCCCACCTCATAGCAGCGGGCATGGAGGAAGGGTACGTGTGTCGGGCCCACATGGGGGAGCACTGGCCGGCGCTGGGGCCCCATGGCCAGTCCTGAATTCCGGATGTACCAGTCCCGGAGCCCCTCCAGGGCAAGGTTCTTATGGCCACCTCGCTCACCACCTGGAGGTAGCCGGGCGGGTGGCGGCACCCAGAGTAACGGGTTGGGATGCACTTCCAGACCCTCCATAGCTTCCGGGGGCAGGCCACAGGGCTTGGAACGGATGGCACGGGTGTTGGGGTCTTTGCTGCGGAGAAGGGGGCTGCTGCCGTCAGCTGCATATATGGGTGGAGGACCAGGGAGCATGGCAAGGAGCCCATCTCTGCGGGAGAGGGGCCCTGGGACTTCAGGAGCCGGCAGCAGATCCCCCCAACCTGCCCCACCAGCACCACGGGGCAAGCCCCTGTCCAATGAATAGTCCAAGAGGAAGTCTCCACACACAGGTGGGAGCCGAGGGGGCCCACGGGATGCAGGGGCGGCTGAGCTAGGCCGGGCAGCCCGAGGAGGGTCTGGGGGGCCAGTGGTGCGGGAGGAGAAGGCAGGGACTGGTTGGGGGCGCTCATACAGCACCTCACTGCTTTTGCAGACTGGGGGACCAGCAGCAGGGGGAGCCAGGGGAGCAGGTGGAGATACAGCTCCCCCAGCAGCCGCCCGATCCACCAGCAGGGCCTCAGAGCTATTGCTGCGGCGGGTGCGAGCTGCGAAGAGGGAGGCCCGATCCGAAGCAGGGTCAGGCCGAGGGAAGCCCATCTGGGAGTCCTGACTACCGGACCACTGGCGAGACTGGAGGCCTTCGGGTCTGGAGAGCAGAGGTGCGGTAACAAGAGCAGGGTCAGAAAAAGACGGAAATTGATGAGTCAAACCCCGCCTGTCCCAACTCTTTCTGAACCTCCACTATCTCTAAAATAGGACCAGGATTAGAAGCTGTGTGCATGGAGTCGCTAAGCAGTGCGTGGGAAGGGCCACTGAGATCTGGTCCCAGACAGGGAAATGTACACGGGGCCAGGGCTGCAAGATGTAAATGTTTCTGGGAATGCGAAGGAAGCACTGGCTGAGGAAGGACACACACACACACACACACACACACACACACACACACACACACACACACACACACACACACTCCTCTGTTACCGGGAGCTCCTATTCCCCTGCTAAGGCTGTCCTCATGGCTCCTTTCTCCCTCCTGAAGGAAGCCCTGGGCCTTATGCCGGGAACCAAAGGCTTTCTGAACTCTAACACACCATGTTTATGAACCATCCCCGAACTATCATCCACCATGCACAGAATGTATGCCCCCAAAAGACAGGGCTTCTGTTCACAGCATGGGAGAAGCAGGCACTTAAGTATTTAAGAAACATTCAAGTGCTTCGAGGCTGACTCGAGTTCAAAAAAATTGCATGGGTTCAAATGTCAGAGCTGCGGTTTACTCACAAGTTACTTAATTAACCTTTCCATGCCTCAGTTTCCACATCTATAAAATGCAAATACTAGCACCTCCTCAGAGGGACCTTAGGATGGTAAAGGAGTAGCTGTCCCCCACAAATGCTACCAGTTAGTAGCAGACAGTAGGCATCTGATACATGCTACCCAACATGCACTGTACCTGTGTCTTTCAAAGGCAGGTATTACACTCACTTCACAAATGAGGAAGGAAAGATTCAGAGAAAGAAAATGACTTATCCAAAAAAAACGGCAGCAAAACCCACACTCAACCTTTCATGCCTCTGTCTCCAATTCCCACTCCAATTTCTCTCCACCTTTCAAAGCCCAGGTGCCCATGTCCCACATCTTTTGGTAATTTCTATTCAACATCTCCAGTCAGAACTAAAGGTTTCCTCCTCTGATACTCAGACCCACCCTCAAGAGTCCCCTTACTTGCAGAGCCGGGGGCCAGTGCCCCGGGTGAGGACAGGGGTGGCAGGCACACTTCGCCCCTCAAAACTGGAGGCACTCCTGGGCAGCGAGCGTGTGGGGCTAGACAGAGATGGCAGGCCCACATCGGGACCCAGGTTAGAAACCGCACCCACCAGTGGGCCCTCCTGCCAACCCAGGCTGGGGATCCCACTCCTAGACCCAGGAAAGGGGGGAAAGGTTCCTCTTTACCTGGTGGGGCTGGCCACAGAATTGCGCCGGCTCTTCAGGTCCCCGTAAATATCCGATGGGGGAGGTTTCCATGGGGCTCGCCGCTCAGGGCTCCCCCCAGATACTGCCCGAAACTGGTCCCAGGCCTTTGGTGGTGAGGGGCGCTCGGTTAGAGAGAAGCAGCTGTGAGGATCCTCTGGGTAGGAGAGAGAATTGGGTAGAATTCAATGAGAGAGGGCCCGGAAGGGGCAGGGCAGGTTTAAAGGGGAGGGGCAGGAGGTGAAGCGTGGCAAAGGTAGAGGCTGCCCTGCAGGTCTAGGGCAGAGGAGGCAGTGAGGTGAAGCTGAGGAGGCCTGGGAAGGGAAGAAGGAGGAGAGGCTGAACAAGAGAGGGTATTCTGAGAGGACACGGGACGGGACGGGATGGGACGGGACAGGGACGGGGATAGTTCTCACCGTTATCGTGACTGGCCCCCGACTCTGAGAGGGAGCTGCTCTCCGAGTGCAGAACTCCATCCTCTACAGGTTGAGAAAGGGGAAAGCAGCCTGTCACTCCAAGGTCGGGGCTCCGTCCCTTCCTGCCACCACGGGAGAGGCCCCTCCCTGGAGACTGCCTTCTGCCTCCTCACTCTGACGCCTCCCCAAGAGTCCATCTTTGCCAGACACAGACCTATAATCCCAGCTACCCAAGAGGCTCCAGGAAGTGGGGTGGGGTGTGTGTGTGTGTGTGTGTGTGTGTGTGTGTGTGTGTGTGTGTG